TCATGTAATCGAATGAACTATCTTATAAGTAAAGTCGTCCCAGGAGCGCAACTCAACAATATTGGCAATATCATTTTAAAGTCGTCTACTTTAAAATGCATAATGTATGTCTGAATTGTCAATATAAATGAGTCAGACAAAATTAAATTATTAGAAGAATTTTTACTAAGTAACAAAAAAACAAAATTTGTTTAATTTACTGTTTGTATTTTAAGAACGATTTCCGAAGTGGAAATTGAGACGTCAATAAACGTAATTTAACCTTTAATTGTGGCTTATTCCCAGTTAAATAGTAATTTATTTAAAATGCCACAAGAAAATAGCTTTAGAACGGTAGATATTAAATTATGAAATATAGACGTTTCTTGAATTATTTTTATATTCTTGTGTTTTAATTTTATAACTTGCCAACATTTTTATTTAACAAAATAATGAATTTTAGTTTACAAATATCTTATCGCTCCGTTACATCCTTAATTGCTTTTTTCAGACTGGTGATAATGTTAATTTATGAAACAATATTAAGTGCGATATAATGTTTATATAGTTTGGAGATAAGAAAAGGAAGTGTTTTATAAACAATCGTCACTTGCATCTTTTTATATAGCTCAGGAGACTTAACCTTTCAGCAGACGTAATTTAATTTTGAGTATCAGTAGTCACACACCGTCTACTACACCGGTCATAAAATTAGTTTGGATGCATTTTGTTTAAATTTTAATAAAATAATCTACTGTTTGTAGTTTTTAAACATTATTTATTATTGACATATTTTGTTTATTTAAAATGTTTATTTGCGTAGCACAAAAAAAAGTGCACAATTTTTGTAATAGTTTGATTTATTCTCTTTTTTTACTAAACAAATTACAATTACTTTAAAATTAGAACATAACATATCAGTCTTCTATAACTATCTTAAACAAAAATAAAACATTATTTCACTAAGTCTTATCATAAAAAAATATAAGAGATAGCAAATGTTTATTGTTATATTGGTAGAAAGGTCCAAGAAATTGATAGAGAAGTTGGACTCTAATTTCATAGTGAATTTAATATTCACTATGGAATTAGACACTATCAATAATATTCACCACACTATTAAATTCACTATGGAAAATTAGAGTCCAACTTCTCTATCAATTTCTTGGACCTTTTTATCAATAGAATTAACAATGTCTTTGATTATAGCATCTACAGAATACCCACACAAACAGATCATGTCATACATTTCGATTCCAACCATCCAATTTAACACAAATTAGCTGCATTCAATAGTTTCATTCATCGTTTAGAAACCATCCCATTATCCAACATTAACCTTAACTTTTAAAATATATAACTTAATAACTTTTAAAATCTAATAACTATTTGCTGCAAGAAAAAGTCGATTTATTGAAGACGGAGTTAAAAAAACTATCACACCCAAGGTAAAAATAAAATACCAATTAAACTTAATGACCCACAAAATAAAAACATTGAAAATAAATATAAACAACCGATTCAATCAGATGTCGACAATTTTGTATACAAAACAAATAACTTGTCAACAAACACATCTAACCTACAGGTGGATATCTCCACTTCATGGTTTTGTTCCAGTTTAATTTTTAATTTTCGTCGGGTCTTTGTGGCATTTGGAATGTTCCAATTGTAAATAACAAAAGGATTTTGTGCCGTAATGAGATAAGATAATAAGAGAAATGTGGTAGTTTTCAAATGCCACGTAATGCTCCAGGGCAACCAAAATTTCAAATAGAATATCATTTTAAAGAAGGACTTCGACGGAAAGTGCATGAATTCTTCTTTAGACAAGAATTTCCAACATTGGATAAAGTTCTTGTCTCAGTTCGAGATGATAAGGATCACCCAGAAATGAGTCGAAGTACGTTATGGAAACTTTTAAAAGAAATAGGCTTCCGCTAGAAAAAGAATCCCAGAAAGTCTATTTTATTAGAAAAAGGCGATATTGTCATATGGAGAAGACATTTTCTAAGAACCATAAAGGAAATGAGAAACCAAAAAAGAAAAATATTTTATCTTGATGACACATGGATCAACGAGGGTCATACACCAAATAAATTTTGGCAGGATGAAACTGTTACAAGTCAAAGGCACGCTTTTGTAAATAACTTATCTACTGGTTTAAACCCACCATTAGGAAAGGGACGCAGGCTGATAATAGTACACATTGGCAGTTCAGACGGTTTTGTTGAAGGTGGTTTATTAACTTTTGAATCAACTCGTACCGGTGACTACCATGAAGACATGAACGCTGATGTCTTTCAAGAATGGTTCGAACAAATGATAGATCTTCTTCCTAAGAACTGTGTAATAGTAATGGATAATGCAAGTTATCACTCCAGACTTATAGAAGGACTGCTCACAACCAAGTGGTTAAAAAAAGACTTACAGAATTGGCTGAGTTCAAAAAATATTACGTACCATCCCGGATCTATAAGAAAGGAACTTTATTCGTTGTGTGCCCTTCATAAAGAAAAATTTAAAAAATACGAAATTGATGAAATTGCCAAAAATCGTGGAATGACAGTACTTAGATCCCCACCATATCATTGTGAATTAAACCCGATTGAACAGGTATGGGCACAGATAAAGAGTGAAGTTTCAAGAAAAAATACCACTTTTAAAATTCATGATGTTAAACAGTTGTTTTTGGAGGCCGTAAATAATGTAAAACCTGAAAACTGGGAAAAGGAAGTAAATCACACTATTAAAGAAGAGGAAAAAATGTGGAAGCTGGACAATATTACCGATAAAATGATCGAGCCAGTTATTATAAATCTTGGTTCTGAAAGTTCATCTTCTGAATCTGATTTGGATTTGTAACAAGTAGCTGTAAGTTTTATATTAATATTTTTATTCGTCTATTTAACATACCTTAGACGGTTTTAAAAACTCTTTTTCTTTTGTAATTTTTAAAAATTAAAAAAATGTGAATTTTTTAAAACCCTTTTTAATGTAGGCCAGTCAGTTCTAATATAGTGTGTGATAAATGAGGTCACTTTTGTTTACATACACATAACACTTTATAACACTGAAATAATTCATTTATTTTTTACAATTATTCAAAGTAATTTTTCAATTAATCTTGAGCACGCCCATGGAGTGGTCGGAGGTACCAGTTAAAATTATGCTAATTACTCTCTCGTTCATAAAAATAAACTATAGGGGCAATATGCTTAGCCCATTTTGTTTTTTCCCCAAGAAACCTTATAATGTCAGATTTGCCGTAAGCACCCAAGATTTTCTCGGGGAATTCATTGAAAGGTATAATACTTTTTCAAATGAAAAATAAAGACTATGGTGACCGTAATAAAAAAACCGTCACGTATGAGGAACAGATAAAAAATACAAAGAAATAGACTCGATGGTAAATAAAGAGACATTTATAAAAAAAATTAATAAACTCGTTAAGATCGGTTTATAAAAAAAAGTGAAAAAAGTGAGGGCATGAGTTATCACTTGAACTGGAGAACAAGACATATACAAAAAAATCTTTGTGATCGTTAGACTTATTGGAATTTTAAAATGATCAAGATGCACCAAGGATACCACGAAAAACTCTAAACGATGACGAGGAGTCTCAGAAGATATTTAAGGGTTGCTGGGAGTCTTTCATGGGGTTGTAATGTCTTTTCTCATGCATGTGTGTTGTTTCAGTATATAATGGTGTTACCAACTCTAGCAACTGACAATAGGCTGAGGTGTCCATTTGCAAATAATTGCGGCTGTCATCAGCTTTGCCTCTTAGTAACCAGACATGGGAATATTGGTTTCTTTTCAGAAACGACTTCCGTGACCATCTTGTCTTGTCCCTCTTCAACTCTTTTCCCTTCAATCGTTGTATCGTTGTAGTAGAAAAAAATAAATGAAAACAAACTTAAATGCCATTGATACAGTGGGAAGAGAGTTTGGCCTAAACATAAACTGTGCAAAAACAAAACACATGGTGTTTAGCCGTTTAGCACATCAAGATGCACGATTATATGTTGATGGTCATATAATTCAAAAAGTGTTCAGTTTTAAATATCTTAGTTGCCATATTACTGAACAACTAGATCCAGATCAAGAGATAAAATGTAGAATCGAGATAGCCCGCACAACATTTTTAAAAATGAGGTCATTCTTCTGTAACTTGCAACTTCGAAAGCGCATGGTTAAATGCTACATTTGGTAAGTCCTCTTATACGGTGTTAAAGCATGGACATTAAAAATATCCACCATTAATCGTCTGGAGGCCTTTGAAATGTGGCTGCACAGACGTATACTAAAAATTCCATGGACGGCTATGCTGACAAATGTGGCAGTCCTTGAGAGAGCAAATGCTGCTCGCGAGCTGCTTGATAACATCAAATGTAGAAAGATGGCCTATTTTGGACACGTTGTAAGGGGAGACCGATATAATATTCTTCAACTTATTATGATGGGTAAAATCTAAGGACGCAGATTAATTGGTAGAAAGCAGGCCTCTTGGTTGAAGAATATCAGGGAGTGGACAGGAATAAAGAAAGCTGAGCAACTATTTAGAATAGCTCGAGACAGAGACAGTTTCGCCATGTTAATCGCCAACGTCAAGGGGACTTGATAGGGCTAGTTAAGCAGAAGAAACAAACTCCATACAATTTAAGTCCTTGGATTGAAACTTAGGTAGACAATGGAAGAAAAAACACGTAGTATGTGGACAAAATGTACATTTTGTCGTACGTTTTGTATGCCCGACAAAACTTATAATAATCGTACCGTGAAAACTGACTTGTAGATATTAAATCAACTATAATGCCTATATGTCAGTTCCATATAAAAGAATGTACTAGATGTAACATAAATAATATTTCCTTCTATTTGTAAATTCACTCTGTCATTACAATAACGCAATGAATGACAAATAACTACGTGAGGATGTTATTCTACACCATATTTCCCTATTTCTACTAGTTAATAATAGGTTTTACTATAAAATAATTTCAAACTATCATTTACAGGTCTCGGACGATTGTAAGAAGAAGTGCTAGTCCAGTTCTACGTCCTAGTCCATTAGGAGTTAAACGGAAACTCGACGATGTTGATTATCACCTTAGCCCGCGAGCAAAGAGGGTCTACAGTTACTCAGGTGGTGCTGATAGGGGAGGATTGCTCACCACTATAGGTAATATAAATCGATATTGTTTAATAGATATTAATTTGATTTCTACTAATAATTAATTAATTTGTTTTATTAGCCGAACCTCTGAAATTTTCCTTTTCTTTGCCTAACATATTTCACAGTTTCTTATACAGGTCCCCAACACAAAAAAAGTAAAGTAGTTTTCTTTGGTATTAGTTGATAAGTTTAGAATAAATTACGTAAGATGGCGTCCCTAGAAATGTCTAATTTTTATGTTGTATACAGTAACGCTACGTTAGTGTTAGTAGACACACGGATACTTAGGTGGTATGTCACAATGTTAAAATTTATGTACTTTTTAGGTACAGTTATCGTCACTATTTCAAAACAAATCTTCAAGTTATGATTATGTACGTAAACTGTAAACTTTCTATTTTAATGATATCTAGTTAAGGTTTCCAAAAACAGCAGTATTTTTTTTATAACTGTACTTTAATGAATCCATGTCATAACTTACGTGGTAACGTGCCTAAAAATTGGTATTCTGAAATAATTATTGAAGTTAGGTGCATAATAATTACGTTAAATGATAAACTATCCAAAAAAACCTTTATTTTAAGCAAATGTTTGTAATCCATACTGCCGTAATATTTAAATTAACTGTACCTAAAGATAAAATTACAATTAAAAGCTGCAAACTAGGTATTTTGTTGATATTACCGTAATAAGTTGGCATTTTGATAGTGAGAAATTAGTTCAGCTATCACTTAACAGATGAGAAAATAAGTTCACGTGTCATTTAGTAGAAGGCAGCAGTGATGTATTAAATAGCGATAGGAGATTGCAGTCTAGGTTTGGTATAGAGAATCTCCAAATTGAAGTTTACATTAGACAGCCCTCAAAGTTAATTTTAAGTCTAGTTTCTTAGTAATATATATATATATATATATATATATATATATATATATATATATATATATATAATAGTAATATTTCTGCTCTTTATGATATGATTGATAGTCAACTTCGCTCACTTGAGACCTTAGACAAAACTGCTGACAAATTAGCGGCGATATTGTATCCTCTTTTTAAGTCATGTCTGCCAGAAAATATGATTCGACTATGGCATCTTATGTTTTCGTGTCCATGGAAAATATTGGAAAAACTGCAGAAGTTACAACTTTAAAAACACACTTTAGAGTGGGTTAATGACATTTTTACAGAGTGAAGTTAAAAAAAAATTGATTTAGCAACAGAAGGTTTTCGTTTACTGGCTGAAAATGAATATTAATTCAATAGTCTTATTGTCAAGATAAATGTAAAATTACAAAGAACTGATCAGTTCTTAGCGTCCGCTGATGGGTTAATAAATTATGAGGTTTACAGGTGTATATTTTTATTATAAGTAATTTTTTGTACTTGAAATAAATTTAGTTTTTTTACAAAACTAATATGCACCATTTAAAATATTTACAAAACTAAAAAAAACAACACAAAAAAAACAAAACAACAATTTAACTTCAAAGGTAAATGAACCAACCTCAACGCAACACGATACAAAAATTAAAAAATTATATGGAATGATCCAATCCAAAAATTAGAATTTGTGAAACTTCAAATAATACGATAGCTAATTTCAACTTACATTACAGAAGACTGCCGACCGAGAGCGAACTATACCGATTCTCCCGATCGTATATTATATTTTAAGTTCCAGTACTTGGCCTCATTGGCAACACTGTCGCTGTTCAGGTAATTAAATTTCGAGAAAATCAAAATATTAAAATATGATGCACGTGCTGCCATCTATTCAAAAAAATTGTTAAACGTTAGTTTATTTGAACACCACTCATTTTAACTGCGGCGTGAACATACCCTCATCGCTAAATTTATTTGATGTACTGGCCTAATCCGGCCGGTTCTCACCTGTGACTTTCAGCCGTCGCTCACAGATGGCGGCACATGATGTTTAATGTTTGACTGATTTCTGCTGATAAGCATGTGGGAAGCGAAACTATTCAAAATTGTTTCTCCATACAACTTTTTTGTATTATTTATATTTATTTATTATTTTATATTTTTTGAATTATATTTTTAGTTTGAAAGAATTTCGTTGTTTTTGTTCCAAAAAGTAAATACATCAGAAAGCTTTTTTGATTTCACATTTTCATATTTTTTTGATTATTGACGTATTGTAATGTACTATAAAATAATATATCACTTCGAAAATATGTTTTTCCGCAAATCGCCAGGAAATTTTGACATTCCTGTCAAAATTTCTTGAAGAAAAAGTCAGGACTTCCTTACTGTAAGGAAATGTCATTTCCTTACTGTAAGGAAATGATATATCCGTACAGTTGTTAGTGTTCTACATAAATGATAGAAAACACATTGCTTATAAGGAATTAATTTATATTTTTAAAACATCAAGTCATTGCTGAATACATTTTTAAGATCAATTTGTTATATTTACAGTAATTTGACAGTTAGTACAATTATTGAACATTGGAGGAACACTCTTAGAACTATGAGAAACATTTTGGACAACATGCAGGGTGGAAGTGTCATTTTGTTGAATATTTTGTACTGTGAAAATTTTATTTGCCACCTCAACCTTATTGTTAAGCGATTCTTCGATATATCCTTTAGCAACGTTTGATGACTTCCATCCGCTATGCCTCTTTAAACTTGTTATGTCGGCACCAGAGTCAACCAATATTGTTGCAGAAGACCGACGAAAGCAGTGACCAGTATATTCTGTCGGATTTACCAAGTTCAAATAAGTAGCAATTATTTTGGGCATTTTTCTAAATTGATGAATTCCTACCACTTGTCTACAACCCTTTCCGCTTTGATATTTAAAGAAAAATCGGTCACTGTTCATATTTTCTGGTCTTAACGAAACATACTTTCGATAAACATTCAAGTAGATCTGATTAATTACAAATGATCTTGGTTTGTTGGTTTTCGAATCAGGTATGCTGATTAAAAGCTTAGATTCTAAGTCTTCTATACCGTGTACAGTCATTCGGACTAACTCATCCATTCTACAGGCCCCAGAAATACCAAATATTACAGCCACCTAAAAAATAAATAAAGCTATAATCTAAATAGAAATTAAAACCTTGTAAATTACCTTAATCATTAAATTTTCTTTATCTGGAGCTTCCTGGATAAATTTTTCAATTTCTTCCTTCGTTAAAATCTTAGATTTCTTTGCCCTATAAACTTGAGCTTGCCGTTTCAATAAAGAACGAAGTTTTGAGTATGTAGATTGTACATTGTGTTTAAGTGCAAGGGTTGACTTCAGCATTGAATAATTGGCCCATAATGTTGAAGATTTCATCTTTAAACAAAGGTCTAGGAAGTATGCCATTACAACATTTTCTGAGAAAGAACTCGTATTTTTACTCATGCGATAATCCATAAAACGTCTGTATGCATTTTCGTACTTTTATCTTGATTTCTTTGGCAATAATTCTAATGAAGCAGTATTCACTGCCTCAACCAGCTCTGGAGGAGTCCCAGGAATGGAAATTTCATCATCACTTATCATTTTACTTTCGAGAACACCAGCAATTAAATTTATAAGCGTCAAGTTTGACAATTCAACCTCAATACGTTTCCATAGTAACCCAAGTAATTTTATTAGGAATTTCAAAGCACCATTTATTTGGAAATAAAATTATCGCGTTTTTTTTAAATCAATCAATATCTGTCGAATTTTAAACGATATGCGGAAAAATAGTATGTTTACCTCGTAGGAAAAGCCACATTCCTGGACTCTGTGTTGCTAAGTCTCGGCTTGCGCCTCGACTTAGCAATCTTCACAGTTGTCCAGGAATGTTAAGCTTTTCCTACCCGGTAAACAATGTACTATTGTTTATTACAATAATATAAAGCACACATTACAATACAAACTTTTGAAGTAGCATTAATAATTGACACGTTTTGTGAAGTTACAATAGTATATTAAATTAGAATTGTTTTTCTGATAGGTGTTACGAGTAAAAGACTATTAAAACAAAACAAATCCGTAACACTGTGATGTTTTAATACAAATAATCAACCGACACTGGACTCAATTGTCAGTTAAACTAAAAAACAAGTTTTTGCTTATTTATTTTTATTGACTACTAATCGGATAACAAACTAACAAGGAGAAGGGCTCAGGACTGTATCGGCTTAATGAGCCCGTGTGTCTACAAGCGTGGCGCTTACTGTATATATTATATGACACTAGGCCCCATGAGGTTAAGTGCACACTTTGAATTATAGGTAATGGATTTTGGGAACAGCTATGACCTTGAAAATGACACAAAGAATATAACTAAATATCTCTTTTCTTACTCATACTCTTTAAAGTATTTTACAATATTTTAGAATCGAAGATATGTAATTATATTATTAATGTATTGGATTTTGACAAGAGCTATGCATTATACCTATTTAATACACAAGTTTATGTGAAATGTTCAAGGTCATAGCTGTTCCCAAAATCCATTACCTATACTTTTCTGGCAGGAATGTGCAAAACACTAATACTGCGTTCATGTACGTCTTAACACTGAATCTTTAATGGCTGAATCTAATGTTCACGAACTGAAACAAACAATGTATCACATGTTGTCCCTTTAAAAAAGATCGGCAGAGGATATCGCTAACATTTACGCCTTAGGAAAATATTTAAATGCTTAATACATTTTACTTTTGCAGGTACTTCTCATCCCGGATCTCTCAGCTCAGTCGGTACTCCCGAATCTCTTTCCAGCGCAGATTCTCCCGGCTTTAACAACTTCAGAAATATCGACAGTCCCTCACCGGGTCGTGCAATGCCTATCGACTCATTATCTTTGTCGAAAAACGACCAAGAAATGTCGGAAAGCCCCAGTTAAACTGAGGTCTATTATTTTTAGGTTTTATTGTTTTTGTTTGCGCGTTCGGCTGGAACCGGTACTGCCGTATATTAAACGAAACCTTTGGGGTTTCCGCGTGATGTGCCAATTTTGTTAAAGTTTATTATCCAAAAACAATTGATATTATTAAAGGAACACTTGCCAGGCAGTTCTACGACGAGAATATTTTGATTAGGTGCAACTGTGATATGAAGACAGTAGGATACCGCAGGATTCTATTAGAATGTAGTTCCAAAATGGAAATATCGGATGACTTGCCTACAGAAATTACGCTCGAGGGTGGATCAAATTGAAACGCATTTTAAAATATGCCAAATATGTTTATAAATATATTTTAATATAAATTTTACGTAAACGCTTACTACCGAGGGCTCTTTGGGAGGCTCCAATGTGTTGATGCCATGTATGGTCTCTAGAAAATCACAGCGAATGTAGGCCAATCTTTCTTTGTGATTCTACTACTGTGTGCGAACAGGCGTTGTTATACAAGTAGAAACACACTTCTAAACCTAATATCTCGTCATTTTTACTAATACGAAGTATCAAGAAAGTCCAAATAGTAGTCAGTCATATATTGTCGCTGTAAATTGGACGGCGTTATGCATGACTAGACCAAGCATAGTCGTAATTTTTTGTTTTCGAAGACAGTTTTTATGTTTTTTCTAAGTGCGAAATAGTAACGGTGCAATGTTTGCCAAAGAAAAACGAAAAAAAAAGGCTTTTGGTCGACTTACGATTTTCGCCACATTGTGTAATTGTGTTATACATCAATTCATCAATAGACCAAGCGACATGGAGGTCGTTTGGTCTAGTGATGCGTAACTGAAATATCGCTTTTAGTGAATGATTAGTAGGCCACAAGATATTATTTCTTTTTGGGTATGACAATAAAAGTCGTTGTTTTGAATATTGTATATTACTTAAGAAATTAATCAAAAATATAAAAAAAACGAACTCAGTGTTAACAGTAGGTACAATTTCCTGAATATTATGAAAATAGTAAATAAACATTACTCATCTCGTATGCCAAAGTCTAAGTCTCTTCTACTGTATTGTTACTGAAAAGGGAGCGATACAGAGGTTTTGCATCATTTGGTATTACATGCATTAAAGATCTTACGTCGTTAAGTTTGGGCACAGAAAGTAGCTTGCCTGTGGGCCAAAGAGGAATCAAGTGGTTACTTAGGGATTGCATTGCAACGGGCCGTCCTTTTTGAAGTTTCTTGTGAAGATCTACTTCAACTTCACTAATGTTAAATCAGTTTTCATAAAAATACTCAGTGGTTTATCCTTTCTTATTTGAATTTCTCTTGTTTTAAGCCAGCTTACCTTACTGTTTTCTATGTCTGATTTACGGTTTGTAATCATAGATTCCAACGAATTTTTCTTTTTTCATTCTGTTAACTGCTAGTGTGTTCTTTTTACGGGATTCCTTTATTACGTTTAGGTAATAATCAACGGTATATACATGTTGTTGAAATTTTAGGGCATTTTCAATATCTCCAAAATCACTATCATTGGGTAAAAGCTATGGTCAGGAAAGAGATGCGTAATGTAATTTTTTCAATGGTAGGATGAGTTTCTAAAATCGTTTTCAGAATCAAAACTATTTTGATGTTGCGGTTTTGACCGCCACAAGAGCCTGACCACAAAATTACATATTTTGCAGAAGTAACATTTTCTTCAATGAGTTTCTTAAGACAACTGCCTACGTCCTGGGCTCCCTGACCAGCTTCACCTTCTATCCAAACAACAATGACCTTTATTATCCTTGCCGCTATGGATACCAAGGTTGTAAATACATAATTGACGCTTATAATATACGATATTTGTTGGAATTCTCGGAAGAGGAAGGGTTTTTCTAAATCACAACAAAAGGTTTCCACTTCTGGTTGATCGTTGCTCATGTCTAGCTTTCTTCTAGATTGTGCATTTTCAGCTTCTTCTAAGTGCACATTTTTTTCTTCATTTAACTTGCTTAATTATTATTCGTTATCTGCGCAATAATATTCCGTTTACAATCATTAAAAATTAATCGCTTGGTCTAGTTATGCAAAATTCAAAATCCAGAATAGGAAGAAAGGCACTTGGTGTTTTTAAATATATCTGGTTAACCGTTACTAACAGACTAATGGGATTTATTCTGTATATCGTTTATGCTATTTTCCACAAAACGCCATAATCCATAATTTGAGAAAATGGCACTTGGTCTAGTAATGCATAACGCAGTCCAATTGGTTTTTATGTATTAAAATCCCAACTCTTTCCGTACGTAATAAAATTGTTTCAATTTTTGCTTGCGCTTAAAAGGAAACACCGATAAATTCCAAATGTGCTTTAGTTCTATTCTATTTTCTTATGGTTAAGAATGTTTTTACGTTGGTGCAATGTTTGTTTATTTCGAATTGTCTGTATTATTTTATTGTTTTTGTTGTTGATGTATTGTTTAGTTATTTTGTTCGAAGGTTAAAGGATTTTAGTGACCTTTTCTTTTTGCAACTATTTAAAATATGTATTAAAGTAACTAATTGAAAACAATTGCAAAGGTGTATCTGTTGAGATCAACAGATACACCTGTTGTACCACATAATGAGATCAACTTATAGCTTCTGCAGCTATTAATAGAATAGGAAAATAGCAGAAAACTGCTTTTTTTTATTTGCCATGTTAAATTATTTTGTGCAACATTACTCAGAGGAAGTTAATCCAAGCAGCTTAAGTCCAAACGTTTATAGGAGATACCAAAAAATGTCTTACAAATATAGTGAGTGGTTGTAAGTTTCAGTTTTATGTGAGACTGAAGAAAACAAACTGTTGCACCATAAGAAACTAGACGAATAAACATTTTAGTGGCCCTTACAGAGCATCCTCATACAAGTATCCAAAAGATTTTAAAACAGTAAGATATAAGTTACGCATCACTATCCATTATATTTGAATCACTTATTTGGGAAACTCCATAAGGCACAAAACTAAAACTCTCTGAAAACAAGAAAAAACTATGTCCTTCAAAAAACTTCACTTCTTTGGGGCTTTTTGGAGATCCAGGCATCTTTATTACGGAGGAAGTACCGAGTAGTCCTTGATCAGCAGGTAATCTGGCGTTCGCCAGATAATTAGATCGATCCTCCATGTAGGTATGTATTGGCTACAGGTCTGGTCGGATTTTGAAGTTGGCAAACTCTAAATGATACCTTTCAATTGTCAACATGTTGCAGATTTCTCACACTTCTGGTAAGAGGCGCGCGATATGTTTGATCCACCCTCAATATACAAACTATGTTCTAAAACTCTAGTAATTTTAGCTCTTACATTAGGCATATATCACCTTCAACAGAATTATAGTCCAGTTAAGGATGATATGTGCCTGTATATATACATATATTTACCCTCGATATTGAATGACATTAGGGGTACTAAACACTTAATATCGGGACTGTTGTGCAATTTATATACCGAGTCGGTAATTACTAATACCATACTGAAACCAAAAATGTGCGTTTGTTCATGAGTTTCAGCTTCATGTAAGACATTTATCTATTAAATCTGAAACATTTCGGAATTGTATGACAAGATCTACGTTTGATTTATATCTCTTAATAACAAATTTTGTTGCTGATCATGGTGATGCTACATTATGTCGTTTTGCACTCTTTTTATTGTAATTATGGTAAACGTAGGGGATATGATGCACAATTCGGGTTTTTGGTAGATATCAAACGGTAATACCGATAATAACATGTTGATTAGTGTTTATGACACCTAGTACTATCAGGTACTCACACCATAAGTTTCAGCTAAATCCTACAATAAGAATTCCCGTCAGGGGGGGTAATATGACGCACTAGGTGTTGGGGATATGACTTATGGGAAATTACATGTAAACCAAAAATAATGATGAACCATGAATAATAATAACATGAAGCCGATGTCTTCTAATGGAAAGACGAACTGAACCTTTTCTTTCTTCATAAAGTTAACTTCCACGCCATCATTATTGCTGCTAATGACTATGCCCACATAATATAATGGCTTGCTCTTTGCTGAAAACTCAACCAATACGTAGTCGTCGACGTTAACGCTTTCTACACATTGGAGGAAATCTTCCTCATCTACAATGTCATCATCAGAGGATTTTTCGTCCCACTCGCCTCCAGATGATGATGGCAACTCTTCTTCTAGTAAGATCCTCCTTTTTACTGGCTTTCAAACCTTGAATGTCTTCTCCTGCTTTGCAATTTTGCGCATGCTTTTTCTTTTTCGCTACGGCAAGAGCATCACATTTTGGTACTGGTGACACAATTTGTAGAAGTTTCGTAGGAGTTGCTTTTGTGGTTTTATGAAAATGTGGGTCAGTAGACTTCTTCTTTGAGTTGAACTCCAAGGTTTCTTGTAGGTAAGCGTAATCAGGAATAGAGGAGGGCGCGAATGAAAACACCCCGCAGGCCCGGAAGCCTGTTGAACCCGTAGACATTGTTGCAGCTTGTGACCAGGGTTTCTGTAGAAGTTGGCCGAAGTGCCTGCGTTTTGGTTGAAGGGAATAAAGTGGTTTTCCAGCCAATTCTTAAAGAGGTCTTCATTTATGTAGGCTGATTTTCCACCCATCACCACTTCAGAACCGTTAGGCATATTATCGAGCCACACTTGTTGTTTGTAGGGACACCTTTGAACACTACGTAGGGAGGTATAAAACTTCCCTCTGCATTACAATAGGCAACAACGTCACTGTCTCTCCTTGTTCTTTTGATTGCCGCACTTGAACTGCCTTGCTGCCTTTGGCCGCTATAACTTCTTGCGGAGGGTTGTTCAATTGCAAACCTGACTCATCTACATTGTAAATATTTCCGGGTTTGTTCAAGAGGTTTAACGATTCTAACGTCTTTTTTAACAAATTGAAATAATCATTCACTTCTTCCTTTACCATGCATCCGCGCGGGCCATAAACACTCCTTGGGCCATTCGAATTGCCAATGATGACTTCCGTTTGAGAAATGCGTTAAGCCAAACCCTTCCTTCTTTGCGTTTCTCTACATTGAAATGGCCGTAGGAAACTCGGCCCATTTGTTCAGCCAGGTTGAAAGCCATTCAGCAAAGTTCATCCCTTGTTGGCGCGTACCCTGCAGCCTGCAATCTCTTGGCATGAAGCACCAATTTTTGTTCTGCGTCCAGGCTAAGGGCAGGAGGTTGTCCCAACTTACCTTTAATGCTGTTCTTTCTTTTGAGTCGGAATTGTAGGGTTTTTCCGGCATATCATATGTTTTAGCTGCACCCCTAACTGAAGAGCCGTCTGCAACATTCTTGAAAGCAGCACAAAGATTATCTTCAGTCCAGTAGCCCCACATGTTCTTACACTTGTAGCTAGGCATATC